ATATTAAGACTAATATAATGACTAATATCTAATATAATGTTACACATCTGATGTTTCACATCCAAACGGTCACTTAAGTTATAACAGATTGTGTTTGCGTGACTACTTTAATATATTTAGCCTACTGTAAATCTGTGTATGTGTGTATCGAGATGTCTGTTGTCTTTATGTGTACGCTTCGGATGAGAGGCAGCGCGAGAAGCGAGCAGAGAAAAGCTACTCCTCTCAGAAACCAAACAAATGAAGATTAGATGATTATTAGATGTTTAATCACTGTTTGGATCACTGGGATCGCTAGACAAGGGCTTAACATGCTCATTTTTGGGAAAACCTCAAATTCGACCAAAATTGACATTTTTCGCTTTTTTTTGCCCGTAGCTCGAAATTAGCCCGTTCACATTTTGACTAATTTCGCCAGAATGGGTCACATTTGTTAGTCAACTACCAGCTGTTTTGGTAAAATTCTATGTTATGTACACCACAATTCCTAAGGTGGTAGAAAAAGTGCATGCATTTTACCGCAAGACTACACCTCCTACATTTCAAGGCTTGGTTGAAGTTAGTTGCAACACTCAAAAATCTACCACAAAAAAGCTACCATTCCAGCATTCCTGTGTGAGATTTCAGAGAGTAGTTTATTTCTCCCTCTGCCTTGTCAAGTTTAATTAATTCAATTCCAATAATATTTTGCACGGTTAAGAGGTAATTCTATCACACAGGGATGCAGCAACAGGAGGCTCTAGCAGGGGCAAGGTACCTCCTCCAGTGTCGCTGCCTCTGTTGCCCTGGATTTATTTGGGTCAGCACAACCAGAAACCTCTTCGACATGTAGCACAGGCCGGCAATCACTGGTACTCAGAAGATCAGTCTCAGAAACAGGATGCTGCGTCATCAAATCAAATTTTGGTGCAGATGGTGGGGAGTCAACTGGAGTTTGCAAGTTCATGGCTTCTTGAGGCAAGATATCTGGAGAAAGGCCAAGAGCGGCCAGCGGCTGAGTGCTACTACATGGTGGCATCACATCAGATGCTGGCTGTTGTAAATCAACAGTAGACTCAAGAGGTTCAGCTGGCAGCACTGGTCCAGAATGCACTGCACCAGATGCTTGGTGATTGCCTGGCACAAATTGCTGAAACTCAACTGTTTGTGCACATGAAGGAAGAGACTCTTGTGGCACCATCGCAGCAGCAGATTGAGGTGGTAACAGCAGATCTGAAGATCCCAGATGCTGAGGTTCAAAGAGTGTGACCATCATTTGACCAGAAGAATCAACCTGTGATGTGGGTGTGGATACAGGTGTCTGCTCAAAAGAGTAGGTGAGATCTACTGGTGGGGTGAAGTCCACTGAGGGCTGTGACTGAGGTTTCTGGGTTCTGGCACTGGGGACAATTGTGGGCTCAAGCAAAGGTTCATTCACAGACTCAAGGTTTGGAGGACTTGGATATTCTGGCTCGAGCTGAGGCCGAGCCGACACAGCAATGGGTTCAGTTTCAAGGACTGGTTCATGCTTAGAAACAGGGTCAGGCACAGGGTTTGACACGGGAACAGGAGCGGCATCATGGTGAGGTATGGAAGATGATAAGAGTGAAAGCTTCACACACACCACAGTCAGGATAAGATGGAATGCAAGCGGTGAAAAATTAAGCAAACAAGATTAATACATTGAAGAAGTGATGCTTATATGAAAAGCCAATGAAGTCTATGACTTTTGGCAACCTCTGCCACTGGTTTACAGATTACTATATGAATGCTTTTGTCATATTACGACCGTTGCATTGTCCATAGAAACTGTGTGTGCCTGTGGCTATATTCCTTGTGAGATGCAATTACTGTAAATGACTGCTTTTCTGAAACAAGCCAGCCTCAATGATATATTCAGCCTACAAATGCGAGCAGCCTTCGAAATGAGACACAGATATAGTGTTGTTAAAGGTGCATTCAGTAGTTCTTTCAGTAGCATTATCAGGTCACTGAAGATGGCCTTTCTGTCTTCAGATAATTTCTGCTTCTTCAGCTGTACATATTGATTCTCCCGTTGTCTCCACTGATACAATAATAATTATGATGCACTGTCTAATTTAAAAAAAAACAACAACAACACTTATCTACAGAGGCGGCAGCCAATGAGCGTGAGGATTCTCTTTTATGTTAACCAGGTCACATTATTTCAACATTTTCAAACACTTTTTAAAGAAAACTAATGAGTACGGTCTTCATCTCATGTGAGTGAACACCATTTAGATGGCTCTTGAATTTATTTATTAAGGTATTTATAAGCACCAAACTACTGAATGCTCATTTAATGTTAGTTGCATACGTCATGAATAGTTCAGCCATGAAACTCTACTCGCGTTCTAATTGGTTCATTCAATTCAATGTTCCCAGCCAATCGGATTCACATACTCATTACTGTTTACCTATATAACCAGGACATATTCAATG